TCGAAATCCTTCGAAATTAGAACACAACGCGAATGTGTGGCGACACCCTCTTGTAAATGCCCCTAGCCCAATTACAGTGTAATGAAGTCAAATATATTTACAGATGAAGGTAAGACAACAACAGACGCACCTCACAAAGTGTAACACAGATACAGTTTGCCAGAAAACGAATTACACTGCATCATACAGCTGTTTCATGCTGATAGGACTCCTTTGTGATGCTAGAGGCCAACATGTTTGGTATCAAAATCAGTCTTAATGAACTATTGTCGAAATAGAAGAGAAGGTGCTAAAAACACCTTAATTTTATGAATTTCAAAATATTAGAAAAGTGAAGGTTGATATGTGATCATATAAATATTATTATGTTTCTGTCTATCATTATGGGATAGCTGTCCATTATTTTGGTGAAGCACCTAGCGATATTAATCATTCTGACACTCTAATCTAACACATAGTCCAGTCTGTCACACCAGTTTGTGACACTGTTCTAATCGTCCATTGTTAAGGATGTACATCTCTACATAACTCATCAGAATACTCTTTAAAAACTACGCCAGATATGTTGTCGTAGCCGCAAGCCTTTTTTTACATCTGTTTGTGTAAGTGCCTTCTGAACATCAGTACAATTCAAAACAGTTAGCAGGCAGTCAAATTCATTTTTTACATATATTTGAGGAAGATCACAATCGTCGTTCATACAGAACACACTTTTGAAGAAAGCGTTAAACATATCTGCAGATTCAACATTGTTGGAAGAAGACGATGAACAGTTTGAAACAGAGTCTGGGACAGTCCCCTCCTTCCGCTTTCCTTTCACAAATCCCCCAAAACGTTTGGGATTGTCTTTTATAGAATGTTCAACATTGGTGATATAATCATAGTATTTAGATGTTTGGAGTGATTTGAACTCCTGTCGTAGAGAAGAAAAAATAGCATACTCAGAAGAATCACCTCGACTGATTCGGCGGCCATTTTGAATATCTCAAAATTGTGTATTTCTTGCACTGTACGTCCTGCTAAAATTCCATTTTTTTGACGTAACATCTTTCCCTAAAAGTGTCATTGTATCACAATTTTTAAACGTAGCAAGTTCATTTTTGCTGTGTAAGTTTTAAATGTTCTATATTATGAAAGTATTATACAACAAAGAGGGAAAATGTACAATATTGGTGTTTTACTAATAATGTATGTCAACTGAAGCGGATTTGGTGTTTTATCCCGCAAAAGGTAAAAAACATAAACCAAAGATAATATAGCAAAAAACTAAGAACACAGACCCCCATTTACTTGACTATTTTAGGAGCATAAACACATTTTTTTCGATCCATTAAATATAAGTAAAAGTGTTAAATACAAGAACTTTTTATATCAATCGTTAAATCTGCGAAAAAAAGGTGAAATATTGGTATATTTGCACTTAAAAATGGGGGTAGGGGTGTTACTGCACGATTTCTCTACCCGACTTGATTTCTCACCTGGCTTGGAAATCATACTGAAATTTCTGCGTTCACAACACGATTCCTTATCCCTGCAAGCTTTTTTCTCGGTTAAGAAATCGTGCAAAACAAATGGACATAGGTGACACGTTTTGTCACCCGGCATGATTTCTTACCCAACTCTCAATCTCACTTGGGGTATTGTTTGCTTGATTTCATCCTTGGTGTCCAACTACTTGCCTAAATGTATATGTATTGCATGTAGATGAGCTGACATGATTCCAAATGACTAGTAGTTGAATGCACAACATGCCTGATATCTTTCGATTGTTTTAGATATCAATCTATTTATTCATTCACGTTTAACTACGCAGCAGAAGTCTTAAAAAATTATCAAAGATTGAATTAGACGATGAAAAAAATGATAATGTTGCCTGGTTGGTATTTCTGTATCAATAACACGACTGTCCCACCTGTCCTCTCATACACATACGCGTGCAGTACACTGCAGGGGCACACACAAACACACACACGCACACACTCACACACACAAAATCAATTTTGTATAAGCGGCGGGTGCCTACCCGCTATCCCTTTCCGAGGGTAAAAGGGAGGGGCCATATAGCAGAAATAGAGGTGAACCGGTAAAATCCTTATTAAGGAAGAATGAAGAGATATTGTCTTAATTTACTCTGGAGCAATCTTTAGACAATCGGACTTATTTTGTATAAGCAATGGGTGTCGCCCCTTAAGGAGAGAGAGGTAGGGTCAAATAGCAGAAATAGAAGTAAACCTTTAAATACTTCTTCTGTAGGATTAAAAGGGGCTTTGTCCAATTTTGTCTAAGAACAACCTTAGGACAATAGGACTTATTTTTATAAACGAAGTGTGTAGCCTCCCTTGGGGTAGAGGGGTGAGGCCAAATAAGAAATAGAAGTTAACCGTTTAAATTCTTCCTCTTCTGTAGGATTAAAGGGTAATTGTTCAAGTTTGTTCATGAACAACCTTAGGACAATGGAGCTTAAAATCAAGTCTGTAGCTTCCCTAGGGGTAGAGGGCCAAGACCAAATAAATGTAAACCTTAAAAATCTTTCTTTATATGCAGGAAAAAAGGATTTGTCAAATTTTGCTCAGATTAGACAAATAAATTAATGATACTACAATTTGCCGTGGGGCGAGTGAGACCTTGAAGGGATTTTAGTCGTAACTTTAAACCATTTGGTATCTTTACATTTTAACCATGTATACTTTAATTGGACATTGTCATACAAAAACCTCGGTGCTTCCTGTATTTGGTCCATCCACATCCCCAGGGCTGACTCTGGTAGCATGTGTGTGTCTCTGTGATCCAATTATTGTAAAAGTTAAAATCACAAAAACTGCCTACGGAAACAGTCACGGGTTCCTTGTGTACGGTTAAACAAGGACATCTTAAAAGCAATTATAATTAAGATAGATGTGTTCTATTTAAAATCAATTAGCATTCTCCAATCACACGCGACACAATATTGTAGTTATCTTGTTGATGTTGCTTGTCATCGCATCGCGTTATTTTACATAGCTTCCCAAACTTTCCACATTTGCAATGATATTAAAAATATCGTTAGCATGATTCATAAGTGCCACTTACGGTCTATTTGTTATGCATGTTTCATACAGGTTTAATATAAAAGGTCGTAAATGACACTTACGACCTTCCCATAAGGATGTGTTACACATCTCTTCCGTATCAAAAGGTCGTAAATGGCACTTACGACTTTTCAGCTCAGATTTGTCATAAAATTCGTCCAACTTTAAAAGGTCTTGAGACCATGTTTTGTCTATTTCGCAGCTTTAAAAATACAAATATGAAGAGATTCTAGCTGAAATCACAAATTGATATTATAAGAGACACATTACTAATTTTTGGTCAAAATCGGTTGACTAAAAGTTATACTACATAGTTTACCCTTATAACTTATAAATATTGTTTTGACAGAATGTCACTTACGATCTTTTTAATTCTATGACGTCGAATTATTTAACCCTAATAGCCAAATTTACTTAATAGACAATATGAACTTACTAAAGCAGAAATGATAACAGTTGCTCAGGAAGGGCAGATAAATTTCTTTTTTTATAGCAAATTTATCAAACTGTTGTAAAACATATCTTGTTTGGAAACATTAAACAAAGATATAAAGATATACGTAATGTATTAGAAGAAAAGAACTAATCTACAGCCTTTTCTAGAATCATCTAGAAATATATATTTGGTCAAATATATATACATGTGTACATGTGTTGTGTAGGGTAAATCCGCTGTGTTTACATTTCCTCGACATGTGCCTTGTTTATCAGAGTCGGGCCATTTCTACTGTATTCTGTTAAAGATATACGTAATGTATTAGAAGAAAAGGACTAATCTACAGCCTTTTCTAGAATCATCTAGAAATATATATTTGGTCAAATATATATACATGTGTACATGTGTTGTGTAGGGTAAATCCGCTGTGTTTACATTTCCTCGACATGTGCCTTGTTTATCAGAGTCGGGCCATTTCTACTGTTTTCTGTTAAAGATATACGTAATGTATTAGAAGAAAAGGACTAGTCTACAGCCTTTTCTAGAATCATCTAGCATAACTTCGCACTAAATGGTCCATACTCGGAGGTAGTACAAATCTAATAGACAATTCCTGATTAACAACAAACCATGGTCCTTTCGTATTTCCTGCATAATTACACTGCCACCACTACTGGTTTAGGTTAACCGGAAATGTTGGTTACTTTATCATCCGTTTCAGTAATTTGTCTATATCTTCATCAAGATATAATCTTCTGTAGCATGTGTTGCATTAACCAGCATGTCGTTATATTGAAAATCGTTCACAATCATGTGACAAACACTCGTCATCTGCCGGGAGTTACATGTTATATAATTTCACTATATTAGAATATGTGTAGGAAAATCATGTGCATTTAAAGTTCAATCATTTTATCTGAATCTTACGTTTTAACAATGATTTCAAGATTTTAACAATATGCATTCTTGCAAGACAGACTTTTAATCTTTAGACACACGAATCCCGTGCCGTTTTTAACTCCATTACTAGTGCATTGTTCAATAGCTATCCATTCCTATTGCATGTACTTTTAATAAAGAAAAACCTCGAACTGTCCATTACGTAAGAAAGTAAATATATTTCGGCTCCATGTGTCTCAATCAGTTAATTTTCTCCCAAAATGGACAGTTATCGGCCTTTTCCTCTATTTTAATGACTTATTCACTGTGTTGCATTAACCTTAGAACAATGTTAATCGAGTATCTTGCCTGGATTGGACGAAACATCTTGACAAGCGCTAAATGTTGAGCAAGAAACTCCTACCTTTGGAGAACATGATTTCGCCTGGGGATTGTTTTATGTGTATCCGTGGTGCCGTTATTTTTGTCTTGATTTACCTTCCGTTCAAAGGCCGAACATAAGTTGTGACGTCAAGTTTTATTTTTGTTACATTTTTATATCTTCGTAGAACGCACTCTTAGATTCATGTTTGTAGACGTAGACACAACTTACCACTATGAACACTTTCTGCCGTTTTATCATTGTAGGTAAAGTGATACCGCTGTTGGAGAATGCTGTGGCCAACGCCTCTATTCTCACAATCCTTGCCATCACCATAGAAAGATTCAACGCCATATGCTTCCCTTTGAAGAGAACTCTCAAGTTCAATGTCAGGGCGGTTGCCAAGGTGATGGGAGTGATCTGGGTTGTGGCCTATCTGACGGCAATGCCCTTTGTTTTGATGACGTCAATAGAAGACGCGATCTTCTACGACGGGACGCCCTGTCAGGTGTGTCGTACGAAGGTCGAAGAACCGTGGCACTATGGATACCTTTTGTCCATGCTTTCTATTTTCTTTATCGTACCTCTCTTCATTCTCGTATTGATGTACGCCAAAATCATCCGGTGTCTTATATATAATTCGGCGTCAATATTATCACGCAAAAACCCAAGCTTCATATATAACATGCGGACTCGTCACCAGGTGGTGCGCATGTTAGTGGCTATAGTGGTGCTGTTTTTTCTATCAATGTTTCCAATAAGGGTGATGACATTGTGGATTATATATACTCCACCGAGTAATGTGGAGGCCCTTGGCATGGAGGGTTACTTCAACCTCCTAGCTTTCGTGCGTGCCATGTTCTATCTCAACAGTGCTGGTAACCCGGTCATCTACAGCTTGACCTCTACAAAGTTCAAACTCGCCGTCCGAAGGGTTTGGGGTACGTACAGCCCCGTTAGTGGACAACGGCTCTACAAGAAGACGCAGCACATAGAGGGGAGAGACATGATTCTCAAACGCTCTACAACAAACCAACTCGACACTAATAGTAACAATTCACGTAGAATCTGTATAGAAATATCCTTCCACTCGATTTAGTATAAATTGTTTATATCCTTCTTAATAACAGAGCAATATTTCAACTACATCAAGTTTTGCTTATAAACAGAATCCAGAAACAAGCATATGAAGCTTACATGTATCCGTCTCAATTCGATTTGAACATCTTGTGTTTTTCTTAATGTTATTATATATATATATTAATACTAAGATAATTAGCTATTTAAAAAAAAAAAAAAAAAAAAAAGTCTTTTATAACATGCTTATACCTGTATAATTGTTCGACAAATATATAATTTATTGTCGTGTGTTATTTTACTGGATTTTGTTTTTATTAAAATTTCTAAACTAATATAAATTACTATTTTCATACTTTTAAATTCTAGATATTTTGTTGTGAATTGTTTTTGAGCTTGACTTTCCGAGAGAATTGATTTATTAATATAATTGTTATAATAAGATATTTATAAAGACATGAAGAATTGTAAACCCCCTGAAAACTTCAAAAAATATGGATGGAACCTTAATATGGGTCCAATTTCATGTGCCAATCTTTTATCTAATTAATAAAAATAGTCAATACGCCCAATTACTCAATAATCCTTGATGTATTCTCAATCCGGTTTCAATCAAGTTCAAGTCTCATTTTGATCTAGTGTATAGGGCTTTTGTTATATTTAACAAATGAGAATCAATTTTGAAAGCAAACACGCATCTGAAAAATGTGTCAAAAAACTAGATGTTTGTTGTTAGCAGAGCTTTTAAAAAATTACCAAATAGGAAGCGACAATTTTGAAAATGTGCATTTCTTGCCCTTCGCGAAAGGCCAAAATTTCACCTTTTTTGACACTAGATTAATCACTTAAATCGTCAGTGTCAGTGAGTGTGTCATCATTGTAAATTTTAGCAAGTTCATTTTTGATGTACGGCTTTGTTTTGTTCAATATTAAGAAATTAATACTCAATAATGTGGAAGTTTACACATTTTGGTATTTATTTGACACATTTAGTGTAAATGAAGCACTTTTGATTTTTGGCCCCGAAATGGTGAAAAATAACACAAACAATAATGGGACAAAAAAAGAAGCACACGCAACCCCCATTTTTATTGCTGTTTTAGAAAGAGAAGACATTTTTTTTATTTGCTAATATTTGAAAACAAAGTTTAATAGCAGAACTCTTTATATCAAGCGTTAAATCTGAAAAAAATGGTGAAAAAATGAGTATTTTGTCATAAAAAATAGGGGGTAGGGGTAACTGAAATTGCTTTTCTGAGTTTAAAGAGTAAGTTAAAGAAATTTTACTTCCATAATTTAAAAGAAAATACTATTTTTGTCAATTATTGAAACATTCATACATATCTGATAACACACTTGGAAGATTTTGTATGAACTTGTCCTGCAAATTGTCAAAACAGCAAAAAATGGTATCTTTGACCGATCAAAGCACAAAAACGAGCACACGGACATATTTATTTACTTTTCAATTTTCTGCTATGCCATAGACTCCCTTTTCCAAAAATACAAATGAGAAAACAGGTTTAATACCGAGGTGTACTGTACATCCGTAAAATGCGTTACTTTTTTCCTACTTTCAAATTCTAGACATTTTGTTGTGAATTGTTTTGAATTTGACTGAGAGAATTTATGTATTTAACATTTATATAACATAATATATATTATATAACATAATATATAGATAACATAATATATATTAGATAACATAATATATATTATATAACATACTATATATATAACATAATATATATATAACATAATATATATAATGACAAGAAGAATTGTATTCCTCTGAAGGTTTTATTTCAATAAATATGAACTGAAACTTAATTTCGATCAAATTACATGCGCACATTTCCAGAATGCTTTAAACAATATGTTTTCTTTGGTCAAATTAATAGAAACAGCCATTAACTGTCATTGCCTTAATAATCCTTTTGTCATTAATGGTAGATTACGTTTTTATAATATTATCCCAACACTGCCGCCAGTGTCACGTTTTGTATTATCCACAACGTGTTACTTTCTGTAACAATTCCGCCGCTGACACCAGTTCAAATTAATTGAACAACACAATAAGTACATTAATATTTACACTTTATTTACAACACAAGTATTTTAATCCGTCATATGATTTAAAAGTGTTCACCATTGTGAACGCAATCTCTCCACTCTAAGCTAATCTCCTACAATCAACTGCAAGACTACACAGACATAAGACTACAACTAAAACGACTATTCTAACTAACTTCCTACTTCTCCAACTTTGTAACTCTCCTCTATGTCTATAGACCTCTCAACTCGGTCTCCCTAACTCAACCTTTTCTCTCCAACTCTCCAACTCTACTCCTCTATCCCAACTCCCTAACTAGTTCTACTCCTCTGTTCCTACTCCCTAACTCTACTCTTCTGTTCCAACTCCCTCAATCTACTCTTCTGTTCCTACGTCACAGACTAGACCTCCCCCCACCTAGACTACAGACGGTCACACTAATGTACAGATCCTAAACTATATCACAAGCACAATTATCTACGGCTACTTAGCTACTATCTTCAAATAAAACTCTGACACTGACCACGAGCCAAGGCTAATAAAATGCATAGCTAATCATCTGTACACTTTGAACAATTAAACGGCTACTAAATTCGTAACACTACCATACAGCCGCAGTCTAGCGGCCAATTTACATGATCACTGTGGACTCCGACGTTCATCTAGGAATTGATGTATCATCTGACCTAAACTGTTCAAATGCTGTTGAAAAAGCCTGTAGAAAAGGGAGAAAGATGTCACATGCTATTACTCCTATGGGACCAGACTGTGCACACACTACACCGCTTACATCTGTAAACATTTAAAAGAAAGTAATACATGTACTACCTACCGTATTGTATGGGTCGGAAATGTGGAATAAATGAACGGCGAAAGAAAACAACAATTAGATGTATTCAAGCATTACGCAGCAAAAATGATTCTGAATGTGAGGAAATCTTCGAGATCGGATATGTGTGAAACGATTCTAGACATTAACAGAATTAATAGTGAAATTGAAAAAAGGAAACTAAACTTTCTACAGTGTCGAATCAGTAGCTCGCCAAATAGTACAACAAAGGATATCTTCATTCATAGACTCTTGAAATTCTTAGAACATGATGAAAGGTCAAAGAAACAGGGTGGATTCGTGTCAGATATAGTTGACATTCTTCAAAAATACAAATTAACATCGTATATAATTATGTCGCTATGGTGAAGATGGATACTTTCCAGCACGACGCGAGTGGAAATACATCGTGAAAACAGCGATAGATATACGCGAAAACACACTACTGAAAGCAAGAATGAACAGTGATCATGATTTTAGTCGTTTTAAAAAATATATACATTTGACATAAAGTGAACCGTATAATTTGTTAAAGTTACAAAACATGGACAAGAAAGTCATACTATATATATCTGATCTGAAAAAAATTGTTTTTATTCTATATATATATATATATATTTGTAATTGTTTTATTTTTCCAGATAAATCATCAGCATAAAAGCAATCAACATCATCATACACATTGAGTCACATACTTATCTTTTATAAGAGATTTTAATGCTGACACAGATAAAGTTTCACGCATAAGATAAACATCTTGCTCTATAAATGTATTGTTTCATAATGAGTAATATAAGATTGTCTGTTGTGTAGTATATTTTTTTTATTGTTGTGCATGCCAAAAATGAAAGTTTCTTTATTAAAAGTAAATGGAATCAATAGCGCATCTTATACAAATTCCATGTTCTCAAAAAATGACTGCACTTCTCTGCACTCCCAAAATAAATGTATTACTGTTTCTATTTCTGTTTACAAAAGAAACAGTGTGGACTATCAGTTAAACCAGTTTTGAATAAATATGGACTTGTTGTTAATATGTGTTGTTTTATTCTGTATTGTAGCGTATGTAATTTTAAGCTTTTAGTAACTCGGAAAGGGGTTGCATATATACTTCTCCAAGTTTCTTCATCTATTTCAAATATGTTGTTCCACTTTCTTTTTCCGGTAGGAATAGTGTTATTTCGACTCTGCACTCCCAAAATAAATGTATTACTGTTTCTATTTTTGTTTTACAAATGAAACAGTGTGGACTATCAGTTAAACCAATTTTGAATAAATATGAATTTGTTGTTAATATGTGTTGGTTTATTCTGTATTGTAGCGTATGTAATTTTAAGCTTTTAGTAACTCGGAAAGGGGTTGCATATATACTTCTCCAAGTTTCTTCATCTATTTCAAATAAGTTGTTCCACTTCCTTTTCCCAGGAGGAATAGTGTTATTTCGACAAAGTATATATATGTTGTAGAAATCTTTCGACCCGTTACTCAGACGTAATCAGGCATTTCTTCACGGACTGAAATGTGACATTCATATTAAGGGACACCTTCATGGACAAAGTAATAAAAGACTATGGTGTTCAACCGTATCTGCTCTTGTCTCAAATGGCAGAAGAGGAACTTGTAGTAGCTCTATTCAAAGGAACCATAGACAATCATGATTTTGATAACAAAACTCTGTGCTGTGAATTTGTGCAAGACAGTGCCTATTTCCTTTGGAAAGCAGCACAGATATATGTCAACGCTGCAGATCTAGTATAATGTAAACTTTACCAGATTGAATGTAAGGGTGCATACACCCTCCCGCAAAGAACAATGATAGTGTGAACGATAACGAAATATGTATTAACCACAATTTGTACATTGCATACTTTTCTTATTCTTAATTTTGTATTATACACTCTCATTTTTGAGGAATAAAAGAAAGATGGAACATGTGTACAATCTTTGTCTTAAATGTCCCCTTTATGTTAAATAATAAACATTGAAATCCAAAATATTTTTCTTGTTTTGTGGTGAAACGAAGGAAGTAGACCCAGCCAGTTGGATGTTACGGGAGTTGTCATACAAATATTGACCACTTATATTACGACTACTGCTATTATTGAACAAAAGGGACTCCCTTTGTCCAGGAAGGTTTCAA